CGGGAAGGGAACATTCAACGTGATTATTGATACTTCTTGTCCCTATATGTCCCTAGTATTAAGTTGGTCATTTTCTTGGTTGTGTTTTGCTCTCTTATTTCTGTATGTGTCTTTAGTTTTCCTGGGAGAGCACTCCTTTCAAAACTACTTGAAGAGTGGATCTGGTTTTGGCAAATTCTTTCAGGTCTTGTTTATCTGAGAATTTTTTTTTTTCTTTGAGAGGTTTTTCACTATAGGGCGCGTGCGCTCGCCAGACAGACAGAGAGAGACATAGAGACAGAAAGCAAGATATCACCCCCCAGGGGGGATGGTCACACCACAATCCCTTCTCCTCCATTCTCCTCTCAGGATTTTGGGCACGCACGCACACGCGCCCGGCGTGAGTTTTAAGCCACCAGGTCCGGGACACGAACCGCAGTTGACTACATGGGAGTCCAGCGACATAGCCATTACGTTAACTGCTGGTTCCCATATCTGAGAATGTTTTGATCCTTTCTTTCCACATGAAGGATATAGTCTTGCCAGGTATAGTTTCTTGGTTGAAACTGTTTCTCACTTAACACTTTGAATATATTTTCCCATTCTTTCCTTGCTCACGTTGTATCTGATGAGAGGCCTCTGTTAGCCTGGTGGAGTAACTTTATAAATAATCTGATGTTTCTCTCTTGCCAATTTTAGTATCTGCTCTTTGTCTGGAGATTTGGCCAGTCTGGCTAGGATGTGCCTTGGGGAAGATCTTCTTCGGTTGATTCTGTTAGGGGTCCTTTGTATTTCGTGGGTCTGGATATTTGAATGTCTCTCTAGTTTTGTAAAGTTTGCTTCCAGGATTTTATGGAATAGATCATCAATGCCCTTATTAGTTTCTTCACCTTCTGGGATACTGATTATCAGGATGTTTGGGCACTTAATGGTGTCTAGTATTTCTCATATAATATTCTCATTTTGGTGTGGGGGGGGTATTTTCTCAGCTTTTTTGGTTGCTTTTTTTTTTTTTTAGAGCAGAGGTTTGGCCTTCAACATCCGAGGTTCAGTCTTCTGCATGGATAAATCTGCTTTTAATACTTTTGAGGGAGGTTTTGATTTCCTGAATTGCAACCTTCATCTCTAATAGCTCCATTTGATTCTTTTTTTTATGTATATTTCCTCTTTCAGATCGTGAAGAACTTCCTCACCTCCTGGAACTCGTTGTCTCTTTTCTCCTGCATCTTCTGGAGTTCATTGACTCTCAGCTCTTGCATCTTGTTTAGTTTGTCACTATGAATATTCTGAATTCTCATCAGACATTTCCATGAGTTCTACTGTACTGTCTGTGGATGATGAGGGATTGTTCTTTTCCCTTAGAGAAGAGAGAGTTTCTTGGTTTCTCATATGTCTTGTGCCTCTGAGGTGGTCTCTGGTCATTCTGTGACAAAATCTCTCCTCTACTGTGCTTTGCAGTGTAGTATCCACAGAAAGAGATTAGGACTTCAGATTTATAAAAAGAAGCTTCTCCCTTAAAGCTAGAGGTTCAGTAAGCGTTGAGGATTTCAATTACCCTAAAAGTATTCAGATACTTGGCTACTGAATACTTTGTCTAGACACTCAGTGTGTGGAGAGTGAAGAGTGGGAAAGCGAGGTTAAAAAAATAAAAGCAAAAGGAAAAAAATAGACAAAAATAGACAAAAATGACCAAGAAAGAGAACAAAAAAATTAAGGTAAAAAATGAAAACCACGCGCACTATGCAAACACGCCAGGACATACCTCAGATTTAAAATGGTTTCTGAAATTAGCAAGAGAAAGAAAAGGCCCAAGGTGAGGAGAAGCAGTTTAAAAATGTAAAAAAGTAAATAAAAAATTAAAAGCGAGAGAGAGCACAAGACAGAGAGAGGACAGAGGTCGCCCTACCTTGTCGAGTATTCTGGGGGTCTAGAAGATGGAGTTCAGAGTGTAGCTTCCCTGAACATGCCAGGACAACCTCAGATTTAAAATGGTTTCTTGTCTGAGTGTTTCGGGGTCCAGAAGATGGAGTCTCTTTGACCACATTTAATCAGCACAGGGCTCGGAGCTGGCCCCTTCCCCACGCAGCAGCCGCGGCTCCCTCGGAGACCTCTCATGAGCCGTGGACCCACCACTTCTCTGTTGTGGCTTCTTTAGACCCTTAGGTGTGTCTTACAGACCACGGCATTTAAACTCTGCCTTATTCTTCACTTCACTTGAGTCTCGTAACAACCCAGTAAGGGCAAGTCGGCCCCACCTTGCAGGTGAGAACACGGAGGCCTAGGGACGCCACGTTCCTGAGGTCGCCCAGCCAGTGGGAGCCTGTAGACTCCTCTTCTCGGCTGTGGCTGGCGCTGCCCCTGACCACGCGGCACGCTCACTCCTTCAGGACGGCTTTGCCACAGTGCTGCTGCATGTGGGCTCATGAGGGCTCCTCGCCTTTTCATGAGATAAGCAGAACGCTTTATGTTTGGAAGGTATTGGGGGGCGGGGGCCTTTTACCTTGTTATCCCTAGCTGCTCTTTCGACTTAATCTCCGATCCGTTTCTAACTTGGGATGTTTCTGAGTTTGCACAGACAGATTTGGGAAGCCCCTGCCTCCTTGTGGATCTGTAAATGAGGAAGAAATGCACTATTTACATACCGACAGGAGACTGGGGGGCTGGGAGGGGTCCCTGTCTGAGACACCCTTCTCCTCAGAGGTCAGGTCCTGTTGACTTGTTAACAGACTGAAAGCCACCCACCCAGGGAGATGCTCCATGAGAACCAGGTGGCCCCCATGAATCTGAGATCGCCAAGGACCTGCGGCATGGCGGGATCTAGAAGCCGGAACTGTGGTGAAGAAGCCAGGAGACGTCGGAAAATCGTAGTTTTCTAGTGAAACAAAGGGACTGCTCCAGCCTCCCTTCTCCCGTGTCTCTGAAAGTGAGGGAGCAGTTTAAACTGTAGGAGGCGAGCTACTGCAGAGAGCTTCTTACTGTAACTGCACATGTACTGGGAACAGCGCCGCTGAACGGGCTGGCCCCGAAGGGCTCCGCCGTGTCCCTTACCATGAAAACACACCTAGTCGCCACCATCGGTGAGGTCTAGCTTGGGTGGCCCCACTGAATCCGCCCAGTTACTGAGGGAGTCAGACATCTTATTCCCAGGTGCACGTTTTGCGTCCCGTGTAGGTGGTTAAAGTGATGTTCAGTAGACCCCCATACACAGGCGAAAAGGAAGGCATATCCATCGCTCTTTTAGCCCAACAACAGGGAAATGTGAATTCAGGGAAGAGACGTTTGGGCACACATCCTTGGTGACTAGGGATTAGACGTATCTGAATGCCAGACACCCCACCGTCCGGTGAGCCACACGTGGAAGATGTGAGCCGTAGCCAGACTCCCTGCGGCTGCTTGGCTTCTCAGTTTCCAGCCCTCCAGAGCTCATGAAGTTAAATCTGCAAAGATGTGAAAACTGTCACACTTGGAACCTCTCGGTATCTCACCACCGGCACACGCTTTCCTGGGGGGCCCTCCACGGCCCCCTCCCTTACCGAGGGTGTCTCTTTAATCACCGTCTTTGTTTCTCGAGCTGTATTTGCTGCTTCTATTTATTCCCACCTGAAGTCACAGTCCTTTGTCACAGGCCAGTCATTTCCACAGCAACCAACAGTGATGTCACAGTCGAGGGGAGGAGGACAATGCAGGAAGGAAAGAGGGGGAGAATGGATCCTCTTCAGGCTGTTTCTGGGTTTTAACGCCATCGCTTTGGTAATCAAAACACCTAGCGGAAAACTCCCCCATGACAACTGCCTTTCTGCAGGGCCTCGGCTGTGACATACAAAACACTTCACCAGCGGTTGCAGGGTCTCGTGTCGTAGGCTTAGCAGAGGTAGATTTTTATTTCCTTCTATTCTAATTCTGTGCCAGTGATCCCGCACAGTAAAATGCATTAAACATATTTCTGAAAGAGTTGATTTAGGAGATAAAAACGTGTCTCTGGGGACCAGAGAAGGTACATTTTCTGTCTTGCTGTCGTTTCCGTACTAGGAGCGATGTTTACACTCCCTGAGCCCATGCAGCGCCCTAATGTGCTCGCGTTCTTTCGCTCTCCAGAGGCAGGAACTGAGGTATTTGAGATTTTGTTTTTTAGCTACTGCATCAAGCACTTAAGATATGACAGTTGTGATGTGTATTCTCACTTGGTATTAAAAATAAAAGCTTCAGCGTTTGCGTTTGATTAGAGCTGCTCAGCTTGGTGGCTGATTGAGCAGGGCAAGGAAAAACAACTTTCTCTGGAAACAACAGCATCCTGGTTAATGCGGTGTGAGATTGTAGGCCGGGGTAGGCACATCATTTTTATTAAATGGAAGAGATTAGCCCTGCTGGGAAGTCACAGTGACAGCAAACTCCAGGCAGAACAACGGGCTCTGATACTCAACCCGTTCCAGGCCCCCAAAGGGTCTTTCTTCTAAATTGGACACAGCGTCCTCCAAATATTCAGCATATTTACTTGGGCTTCCGGCTTTTCCCCAGGGCAACGCAGAACGGCATACGCATTGCAATGCCTGCACCGGAGCTGCACTCCCTGTGTTACCGCAGCCTTCCTCCCCTCCAGACAGGGGGTGGTGCCCACAGAGAGGTGGCCAGAAAAGACAGGAAGCCTGGAGTGGGCTGTGATTTGTTCATTTAACATGCATAAAATTGTTGCCTCTTCCCCAGACTCGGTCTGTGGGTGATCCCAGTTCTCAAAGAGGGAGATTGAAAAGAGATTAAAAGAGAGAGAGAGAGAGAGAGAAATAAATTTGGGAAGCCTGAGGCTGCCGTGCACCAGGGAGTAAGCGGAGCAGAAAAGCCAGGGCGACAGGAGAGCGCTTCTTCGGAACACAAAGGGCGGCCATGGCGGGTGAGGGGGGAGGCTTACTTCTTCATCCTTGGCGAGCTGCTCCTTGAAGAGAGTTAGAGGTGCCCTGGCCACTCTACCTAACGGGGCACCCCCGTCTGGCGGAGAGCCCCCTAACGCCCTGTGCTGTCTGTTGCAGGACTGATCCGGGAGAGCTACCTCAAAGGCCACGACCAGCTCGTCCCCGTCACCCTCCTGGCCATCGCGGTCATTCTGGCTTTCGTCATGGGCGCCGTCTTCTCGGGCATCGTCGTCTACTGCGTGTGCGACCACCGGCGCAAGGACGTGGCGGCGCCGCGCAAGGACAAGGAGCTGGCGCACTCGCGGCGCGGCTCCATGGGCAGCGTCACCAAGCTCAGCGGCCTCTTCGGGGACACGCAGTCCAAAGACGCGAAGCCGGAGGCCATCCTCACGCCGCTCATGCACAACGGCAAGCTGGCCACTCCCAGCAACACGGCCAAGCTGCTCATTAAGGCCGACCAGCACCAGCTGGACCTCACGGCCCTGCCCACGCCCGAGTCCACGCCCACGCTGCAGCAGAAGCGCAAGCCCAGCCGCGGCAGCCGGGACTGGGAGCGGAGCCAGAACCTCATTAACGCCTGCGCCAAGGACCTGCCCGCGCTGGGCTCGCCGGTCATCCCCACCGACCTGCCCCTGCGCGCCTCCCCGAGCCACATCCCCAGCGTGGTGGTGCTGCCCCTCACACAGCAGGGCTACCAGCACGAGTACGTGGACCAGCCCAAGGTGAGCGAGGTGGCCCAGATGGCGCTGGAGGACCAGGCGGCCACCCTGGAGTACAAGACCGTGAAGGAGCATCTCAGCAGCAAGAGTCCGAGCCACGGGGTGAGCCTGGTGGAGAACCTGGACAGCCTGCCCCCCAAAGTCCCCCAGCGGGAGGCCTCCCTGGGCCCGCCGGGAGCCTCCCTGTCTCAGACCGGCCTGAGCAAGCGGCTGGAGACGCACCACCCCTCCTCCTACGGCCTTGACTATAAGCGGGGGTACCCCACGAACTCGCTCACCAGGAGCCACCAGGCCGCCACGCTCAAAAGAAACAATACTAACTCCTCCAACTCCTCCCACCTCTCCAGAAACCAGAGCTTTGGCCGGGGGGACAACCCGCCCCCCGCCCCGCAGAGGGTGGACTCCATCCAGGTGCACAGCTCCCAGCCGGCCGGCCAGGCCGGGACTGTTTCCAGGCAGCCCAGCCTCAACGCCTACAACTCACTGACCAGGTCGGGCCTAAAGCGCACGCCCTCGCTAAAGCCAGACGTCCCCCCCAAACCCTCCTTTGCTCCCCTTTCCACGTCCATGAAGCCCAATGACGCGTGTACATAATCGTGGGGGAGGGGCAGGTGTGAACCAGCAGGCGTTGGGCGCCCTCTCGGCTTGGCTGGGCTCCCCACCGCCTGAGTACCCACCAGACCAAGAGGCCCTCGGCAGGGCTGAGGACAGCCAGGCCTGTGGGACACAGGGGACGTCCAAGGTGGACGCACGTTTGGTGAAGGTTGCAACGGTCGGACTCACCCCCATCTTCTCCTTCACTCTCCCCACATCCCCCAAGTGGGACCCACAAAAGACTTCAGTTATCATCGCAAACATGAGCCAAAAGCACATCCTCCCAGCATCCCCCGTATACACGCACACGTGGACACACACCACGCACACACACACACACACACACACCACAGAGGCGGACGGCAACTGTAACACTTTGTCCACGAGCGCTTGGGCATGGCCAGGCTGGCCTCACGTTCCAAACTACAACACAATACATTTTTTTAAATCATGAAAACTTAAAAAGACAAAAAAAATAAAGAGTTCATTGATCATTCTAACTCAGACTTTAACAATGGCAGTTTACGATGCGCAGATACTGTGAAATGCCCACCAGTGTTACGGCTCTCTGTTCCAGCAGACAGGCGCCATGCTGGGCCCCGACGGCAGAGATTCCTGCTCCTTCCTGTTAATGAAATAACGCGACCGTTAACGCAGTAACCCCTTATTTATTGCTCACTCTGTTTTTCCTTAAGGACCCTTCCACATATCACCCTACGAACAACTCTTCAGAAAGCCCATCGAAAGTAAAACTATTTAACGTGAAATCCATTAACTGGAATAATTGAGTTTCTTTATTTTTACAATAAATTCACTGAGTAAATAAGTTGGAGCTGGAATTCTGAGCTTTGTGTTTGGACTGTCTGGTCTGTAGCTAAAGGAAAACGTTAAGAGGGGAATATTTATTTAAATCTATCATTTAACTTGCTGGCTAGGTCTCTGGCCTGTGACACGCAAAACATCCACTAGTTTAAAAGTCCTTCCAGATCCTAACTTCTAAAGCAACCAGGAGAGAAACTTCTAGAGTGGCCCTGTGCCCCACTTCTGCCAGTGTGGCTTGTCAGTGGCTTCTACACCCTGTGAAGGCACCAGCTTGCGATCCGCCATCTCATCTCACCTTGCATGTGAGACAGCAGACAACCCCTTCGCGGTGTGAACGAATCGATGCGCTGGCTGCTCCCCTGCATAAGTAATGGTGTGCTCACACGGGTTCTTCGTGGGGTGACATCTGTGAATAGCCTGTTTTCCACATGTAAATTTGTGCCTTACACCCTGAGTTGTGTACACTTGTAATCCGTCATGATCAACTCCCCCTTCGGAAATACGTGCAGCTATTTATTTAATCCCCCTCCCCCGCCCCTCCAGCCCCCTGGAAGAAGGCAGTGGTGGGGCTCGTCCCCCACCACCTGGGGACGCAGCGTGGCACCACACCCTCCAGTTTACTATGCCTTCCGATTGTGCCAACTCAACTACCCTTTGGCCATGCTGCCAAGCATGGGCCCAGTGTTGTGGGTGGTCAGCCCTGTTCTGTCTCCAGAGCCCCGCTCCCTTCCATTCTCGGATCTTTTCCGTTTGGGGATGTCCTCACGGCCAGCAGGAGCAGGGTGCTAGTCCCAGCCCCATTTCTGCTGTGTTCCCTGGCGGGAGGCCGCACCAAGTGCAGCTGGCCGGGCACCTGGAGCGGTCTCCAGGCCTGCGCTCGCACACGCATGGTGCACGCAGAGCGGCCATGTGAAAACGCAGGAGGCTGGTCCCTGCTGTGGTTAGCGAGGGGCTGGAAGTCCAAGGCCAACTGCGAGGGATGCTGCAAAAACGGTGGCTAGGGCAAAAGATTTTTTATTATTTTTTTAAATTTCTTTATCCTTTTGTTCTTATTGTTGGGGGGTAGGGTTTTCCCTTGGCACTCAGAGGGACTTCGGTTGACTCACAGAGGCATTGTCAGCGTGCTGTAGACCACAAGTGTTGGCTTTCACTCGCTTTTTTCAACAGTATAACAGTGTATTTGCTGGTCTCTCTGTCTCTTTTTTATTACCAGTTTAATCTCGGTTTTGTTTTTTCTTAAGAATCATCATAATAATAAAGCCTTTCGAGCAAGACTGAGGAGGACAGTTTTGAGTTAGTGAAAAGTGGTGCCTCCCCCCGAGACCTGAGTGAGTAGGGTGAGGGTGAGGACACAGCCCTTCGTTCCCACAATCCATTGCAATGTCGCTGTTGTTTGGGGTAGGTTTTTGTTGTTACTCTTTTTTTTTAATGGAATTAATGTCACAATCTGTGAATCTGTACCTTGAAACCCAAAGCCTTTTCTAGACGCCAGGACACTGTCCCTTTGATTTCTGTAACGGTGCAGGACCAGGACAGCATGGGGGTGCCCTGCTTTCTGTCCCAGGCTCGACTCCCAGGAGGTCGGCTGCAGTGTCCGCCTGCCGGCCTGCTGCGTCCCCGCCCCCTTGTCTGTGGGCCGCACTGCTCACCTGTGTGGAGACCAGCGCCAAAACTCGCACCTCGTGTCCCCGCGTGCCACAGCCCCTCCCCTGCGGCTGCCGCCCCCCAGCACCACGTGCACTGACTGGTCTGCTTGGAGTACCCCTTTTCTCTCTCCCCGCCGTGTGGGGGGTCCCTAAGCCTGAGTGTGCCTTTGCTTTTACCCCCGCTAGACACTGGTAGATGCAACGAACTCAGAGTTCTATTTGTCGTAAAGTTGTAAAAATATCGTGATGTCACCAATTCTCCTTCCGTTTCCACATCCCTTAACATCCGATTCACGACTTAATGTATGTTGTAAAAAAGAAGGGAAAAAAAGAAAAAAGCAAGGAAAAGGCTCTTTATTACTTAAAAGTAATAAAACCTGACTGTTCAATGTTATCTTTTGTGTCCTGAATGCTTTTATTTATCCCTTAATTTTTCTGTTTTCAGTCAGTCTCCTCCCACTGCCTGCTCTCTTGGGGTAGGGCTCTCCACATTCATCCATCTCTCTCTGGTTTCCAAAGCGTGAAGAGCCGTATATTCGGACACGTTTTTTGCAATATCTGCCCCCCACCCAGTTATTGATGTGTTTTCTATGTCTGCACCCCGCCTGGAGCAGGATTCTAGCAGAAGCCACCGGTAATTAAAAAGCAGAGCACGCATCGACTCCCTCTGTTCATTTTTATGCATTTTCTTTTTATGGGCTTGTTCATCATCAAACATTTATGGTAGGCTTGATAGTTTAAGAGATCAAGGCTAGGATTTTAGTATGTAGGGTCCACTAAAAATAGCTCTTTGCACAGATGTGAGTTCAGCCTTGTCACATATTAATAAGGTGGAGGTGCTGGGATTTTGCGCCTCGTGGGCTTCTACCCCCCGGAACCCAGAAGACGGCTGGAGGCAGACGGTTGCAGCACTTGCGTCTGATTTTGCAGAAGAGCTGTGTGAAATGCCGAGCTCAGGCTTTCTCTGGAGCATTCTTAAAACTGTTATTTTGGGAACCAGCAGTTAGCGTAATGGCTATGTCACTGGATTCCCACGTAGTCGACCATGGTTTGTGTCCCGGACCCGGTGGCTTAAAAAAAAACTCACGCCGGGCGCATGTGCATGCGTGCCCAAGATCCCGAGAGGAGAATGGAGGAGAAGGGATTGCGGCGTGACCATCCCCCCTGGGGGGTGATTTCTCGCTTTCTGTCTCTATGTCTCTCTCTGTCTGGCTGGTGAGCGCACGCGCCCTACAGTGAAAATCTCTCCAAAAAAAAAAAAAAACTTATTTTTAAAAGCTTGGCTGCTGTGCGTTACTTTGACCTTCTGAAATGCTTTTCTTGGTGTCTGGTCGAGCTGAGTGCAGGCAGCTGCTGGTGGGACCTGGCGGTCTCAGTTCTGGTCCGGTCCCCTCTCCAGGGGCCACTTCCCATAGCGTTGCTTCTGTGCCGCTTGTGCCAGGCACCGGGAGGCAGTCGGCTGGGACACAGTCCTGCCCCTCATTTGCAGGACCCTCATAGTGCCTGTCACAGATAAGAACAGAATGCCAGTGGGGCCAGTAGGTGGCCAGCAGTTAGGGCACTGAACTCTCACACGGCCAGTCACGGTTTGAATCCTGGACCTGGTGTCTTGAAAAACATGCTGGGTGCACGTGCGGCATGTCCAAAATCCCAGGAGGAGGAGCGATTGCAGCATGGTCGCCCCCCCAAGGCTGATTTCTCACTTTCCCTCTCTGTCTCTCTTCAGTGAGCACACATGCCCTATGGCTGAAAACTTCAAAAAATAAATAAATAAAAATAAAAAAGAACAGAGCATCCTGAGGACGCCCCACAGAGGTTAGGGTCTCCAGGTAACACTGGTCAGGTTTTCTGGACAACCAGGCCAGGCAGACGACATGGCGAAGCCACAGAGGGTGCCCTCGAGGAAACAAAGGCCGAGCAGGGTTTGAGCAGGGGCTGCGGGATGCTGGGCAGGGCAGGACCAGGAACCTCCTTCCCACCTGGGATTCCAGCCACAGGGAGTGGAGTTCCCCCACGCCCACCCACGCCTGGGTGCTTATGAAGCAGCAAACATGCTTTTGTGCTTAAGAAAGCTTCCTGCTGGGGCCAGCAGGTGGCGTGGTGGTTAAGGCACTGAACTCCCACGTGGCAGACCAGTTGGAGTTCCAGACCTGGTGGCTTTCTCTCTCTCTCTCTCTCTCTCTCTCTCTCTCTCTCTCTGTGAGCACGCATATAACAAATTAAAATATATATAGTAATAGTAGTAAACAAAGTTAAGATAAAAAGTTCTAAACAGAGAAAGCAAGCAAGCAAGCTGCCTGCAGTGCTGCGGGAAAGGACCAGACCAGGGAGAGACTGTGCTCTGTGAGGAGCACGCCAAGTGGCACGCCCCGGTGACACAGCGCTTGAGAAGCCTGTATCCGCCTCCCGGTTCTAGGGAAGAGACTGGACTCACAGTGACCTGCCCCTCTGGCGAGGCAGAGCTTCCACCTTAGGTGACCCCAGGGCTCTTAGCTAGAACCCAGAAATGCCACAGCTAGTCTGACACTTCATTGTTAAATGGGAAGCTGCAGTTTGCTGCCTGGAGAGGGTAACAGACCCACACAGACCCATTGTCTCTTACCCTACCCCTCAGATCCTTAGAATAGCAGTGGCCCAGCCCCAGGTGGCCTTCCCCTCTCACCCTCCGCAGTGAAGGTGCCTAGGTTCCCGTCTGGGCGAGACGGGATCACAGGGTTTGAAGCAGACAGTCCTGCAGTGGCATACCCAGCCAGCGTTGTTCTGGCTGGTGAGGAGGTGACAGAGGCTGAACAGGTGCAGCCAGGATTTCGGCTGGGTCCCGGGGATGCCCCCACTCAGAAACAAAAATGCCCCGGGCTACGTGGGGTGTTTTTTGTATGTTTCTCTTTTTTTTTTGGAGAGGTTTTTGCTATAGGGCGCATGCGCTCACCAGACAGACAGAGAGAGACAGAGAGATAGAAAGCGAGAAATCGCCCCCCAGGGCTACGTGGGTTTTTAATTGTGTGTGTGCTTGCTTGTTACAACATCGGAGGCTTCTGCACTGTTTTTAGGCTGCTGTTCCTATACAGCCACCAGACGTGTTCGGGCCTGGAGCTGACAGCGTGGACCATGCTGTCTTCCGCACTCGCTGTCAGGTAGACACAGACCGCTCCCACTGTGGAGCCCTGTGAGGGCAGAAGCCGGAGGAGGTGCCCAGAGTCACCGTGCCAAGGTCTCACTTCCAAACAAAAGCTCTTTCCGAAAAGCAAGCCATTCGGCAAGTGAGAGTGCAGAAAGCACCTCCCAGTGCAGACACTGGTACGGCTGGAGGGAAAGGAGGGAGGGGTAAAAGAGCCCTTTAGTAACAAAATAACGTGATTAAGAACATAATCCTCTTCCCTGCTCTGCACCGTGACAGCTGGGCGCTTGGACTCAGTAACCCTTCGAAACCCACATCTCACTCATCCTAAAGTCGGTGGAGACGCGTCTCCTGCAGAGTGGGAAGGGAGGGCTCACACTGATCAATCGGGCAGCCAGACAGATGGGACCTCGTATCCCTTGGAGTATAGCATCGCGTCCGCTCTAGCCCTGGGGAGGCCGGGGTGGGCGGGCTGACCTCGGCAGTGGGCTGATGTGCATTAAACGTGGCAGGGCAGGAAAACGGGCAGATGTCCCTCTAGGAATATGGAAATGGAATCTGAGCAAACCTGGAGAGGCTGCTGAGTGGCGGGGGCTCCCACCCCTCTGCAAGCAGACGCCGTACAGATGCGCCCACAGGGCCCCGCGGGGCTTTCTCCTCTCCGTACCCTGTCCCAAGATGTTGCAGAGGCGAGAACCGGACTTGCTGAAGGCGGATTCGTTAGGAGGACTTCACCTCTTTTCCTGATACAGCACGCGTACCCCTAAGCACATCTGGGCAAACCGCTGTTCAGAAACGGGAACCACCAGGGATGCCGGCCCTGGCTGTGGTGGCCAACGACTTCTCGGCTTTCCTAATCACCTCCTTCCTAACCATCTCAGACCCCCTGAGGTCCTGAGCTTCATCTCGCTCATGCCGTGAGCTAGCAGGCCGCCAGGTGCTGCCAGCGAGAGCACCCGACCAAGGGAGCCGGAAGTGACTACGGAGCATTTCTCATCGATGGTTTTCAGAACAATAAAAAAGACCGAGGTGACATTGGACACCCCAACTGCCAGGACTCCAGCATGAAAGAAACTCAGGCAGGTCCCCCGGAGGCTGCTAGGGCGAGAAAGATGGTGAAACACCGCCTGGAACCAATCGTCTCTTTCCCGCATCCACAGCTGTCGCGCCACGTCCTGGGTAAGGAGTGCTGCTCCCAGCTCCTCCGTGGCCGCTGCCGTGGCCACTGGACGTCCTGCACGCCCAGCTCTGTGTCGGTGCAAGAATGTCCATGCCGTTCAGGGGCTCGGTCTGATTTAACGAAAACAGAGAAAAGCAGAGGGACCAGCAGGCGTGCAGTGGTCAGGGCCTGGGCTCCCACGTGGCTGACTGCGGCTCGAGGGCCAGACCTGGCAGCTTGAAATCGCACCAGACACCTGTGGCTGCGTCCCGAATCTCGGAGAGGATAGAAGAGGAGGGGTTGCCGTGTGGCCATCCCCGGCGGGGAGGGTTCCTCACTTTCCCTCTCTCTGTCTCTGCTACCTTTGTCTCTCTGCCAAGTGCACCAGCTCTCTGGCAAAAACCTTAATTTAAAAAGGAAACTGAGAGTAGAGCGTGCCTCTCCGAGAAGAGCTTTTGTGGTCGATAGCAAAGAGGCCTTGCACTTTCCAGTGTGGGGCCCCCAGCCTGCCCGTGACAGTGCCCGGTCCTCGTGTAGGCCTGGTGCGGTGGGCCGTCCGTTGTACGGGACTGGGGGTCTGTGGAGGAAGGCTCGGCTCGAGTCTGATGGACACAGGGACGTAGTCGGGTTCGAAGCCCTGTGCGGGGCATGGCCCGTCCCTCTCCAGGGGACACCTCAGCTGCACAATTACTCTGCTTCACTGGAGGGCACGCAGTTACAACAGTAAGGTCCCCGAGATGGGGCTAGGCTGCTCTCCTGTCAGGCACGGTGCCCAGCACTTCCTCCATTAAAGAGCACCCCTCTCCTTCCTGCTGTGGAGCCAGATGCCAGCGGTGGCACCCGGAGGACAGGGGGCCCGCCCATCCCAAGGTCTCCCTCCAGGGGCAAGTCCTGCCCCCTGGGGCAGTGCCACAGGCCGCCTTGTGGGAGGGGACGAAGGGCACACTTCTGTAGGCCTCGTGTCCTGCCTGCTGATACCGAAGTGGGCACAGCTGAGGAACAGGAAGAGGTAGAACAGGAAGAGGGATGCAGAATTCTCCCCGCTTCCACCCCAAGGCACTGAGGGGTAGCCAGAAAGAGAGAGCAGCAC